AAGCTTCTATGCACGCCTCATTGAACTCGAAATCAACATCCTTGTGCAAGAGCTGGCACATTGGTCTTGTTATCTTTGAAAAGTCCTTGATGAATCGTCGGTAGAAACCTACATGGCCCAAAAAAGAACGAACTTCCCGAACACAAGTCGGGTAAGGTAAGCTTTGAATAACATTAATTTTGGCCTTATCTACCTCAATTCCTTTTTTAGATACAATGTGACCCAAAATGAGACCTTGAATCACCATGAAATGACATTTCTCAAAATATAGAACCAAATTTGTTTCAATGCATCTTTTTAAAATTTTGATGAGATTGGCCAAACATTCTTGAAACGACTTCCCGTATACCATAAAATCGTCCATAAAAACCTCTATTATGTTTTCGAAATATTCGGAAAAGATACTAACCATGCAATGTTGGAAAGTGGTTGGGGCGTTACACATTCCAAATGGCATTCTCCGGTATGCAAAAGTGCCAAATGGACATGTAAATGTTGTCTTTTCTTGGTCTTCCGGTGCCACCGGGATTTGGTGAAAATCGGAATACCCGTCTAGACACCAATAATGAGATTTTCCAGCCAACCTTTTAACATTTGATCGATGAAAGGCAATGGAAAATGATATTTTCTTGTGCTTGCATTGATTTTGTGGTAGTCAATACATACTCTCCACCCATTTTACATGCGGGTGAGGACCATCATACCTTTGTTGTTCTCGACTATCGTGATTCCTGTCTTCTTTGGTACGACTTGCACCAGGTTCACTCATTTGCTATCCGAGATTGGATAGATCATCCCCGCATCAAGAAGCTTTAATATCTCTTTCTTCACAACTTCCATCATTAGCAGGTTCAATCTCCTTTGTACGTCTCGACTCGGCTTGCTTTCATCCTCCATCAAGATCTTGTTCATACAAGTGGAGGGGCTCAATCCCTTAATATCTATAATTGTCCAACCCATGGCTTCCTTATCTTCCTTCAACACTTTGAGGAGTCTCTCTTCCTCAAATTCGGTTAGATGAGTCAAAATGATAATCGGAAGAGTCTTATTTTTGCCCAAGTAAGCATACTTCAAGTGCTGAGGTAGGACCTTCAATTCCAATTCCGACGGTTGAACAATGGATGAAGGCAATTTTGTATGATTTGGGGGCAATTCAATTTTTTTGACATCTAATCTTACAGATTTCTTCATCTCTATTTTATTTACCAACTTCTCAACTTCCGGATCCAAAGAATAAAACTTTAATTGCTCGGCTAGCTTCCCACAATCGAATCCTTTGCCATATCGGTCCATGAGTTAATTGACCTCGGTGGAAGATAGAATAGCCAATCATTTGCTCTATCGGCCAATGAAAAGGGGAATGCCCTTAGCTTGATTTGGTCATCAGTTTACCCTTGTGGCTTCATACTAGTGCAAATAATGTTGAACATCATCAAGTGCTTATGAGGGTCTTCATTTTCTAGTCTATGAAAAGTTGGAAGATGATGGACTAAACTTGACTTAAACTCCGAACCTCCTTCCAAAACAGGATAATTGATACCGGTTGGAGTTTGTGTAACATTGGTTTCCATCATTTGCCTCGAATTTATTTCGAGAGCTTCTACTCCGTCCACCATTGCAATTGGTTCAATAATGGGTGGATTTCGTTGTAGAGGTGGTGTTTTGGGAATTTCTTAGCGAGGGTCGGGACTAGAATCGGGTTCCGTGTCACTTAATGAAGTGGGTTCAACCTCCGGATCCCCGTGAGGATTGGAAGTTTAACCACGTTGTATTCTTTTTTCCTTTGCCAAACGCCTTACTTCTTTTTCAATTTCCAGGTTATAAATCAAGTCACTTGTACGTTGAGATTTGGGCATAGAGAAACAAATTGATTAAAAATAAACTAATCCCCAACAATGACGCCAAAAGTTGGTGGTTGTCGAGGCCAACAAAATTAATAACCCTAAATATTACACACTAAAATAGTGTATAGTGGTAAAGGGATCGTATCCACGGAGATTGGATCAATTTTATAACTCTATGAAAAATCTCTTTGTAAAAATACTTGTAAAATGACAATAAATTAAAAACGGGGGGAGGGGGTGTTTTGAAATACTTGAAATAAATTAGAATTAAACTAAGATTTACTTTTGATGAACATACCATTAGAATCCAATGGTGCAATACTTTATTTAAATCCTTAATTTGACTATAGTAATCCAAGAAGCTTGAGATTACCTAAACTTTTCTTAGTTGTTAAAATGGTTAGACAAGCTTATAACAATTTCCTTAGTTAAAGTCACAATTTCCATTAAGCATGTAATTAGTGAAAGTCAACTAGCATTAAGAACCAAAAAGTCACCAAATCCAAGAGGAGTCAAATGCTTTCACTACCATGTTGGAGGAAATGTTTTTATGATTGTGTGAAGCAAAAAAAACACAAAAATCAGTTGTTGCTTGCTAATTTGAGGATCTTTTACTTAATGAGGAAATTAGCCAACTTATCACCACAAATACATTTAAACTCATGAATAAAAACATACAAGTAGTGATAATATGTTACAACACAAAACATTTCCATAAAGATTTAAGAGAAAGTTCATGGATTCTTCAACATTCAACAAAAGTTCAAAGGATTCAACGAAAGTCAACCATGATCTGTTTAGCCAAGCATGGCTAAACTCAAGAAAACAAAGTTAGAGAAGATTGTACCAAACATTTGGCAAGAATCAAGAGGTAAAAAATGATGTTCTTTGGGGTGTTCTTGGCCTTCAAAAGTGTTCAAAACTCCAGAGAGAATGCTAAAAAATCGAATGTCTAAGAGTGTGCAAAAGTGGCACACCAACCTTCCCCATGAAGCCCACTAAATGAAATTCTGAAACTGCCCCTGCTAAGTCGTGTATGGCCGCGCAGCCCTACGCGGGTGGTATCAGATCATGGGTTCTTGAGAGTTTGGGCCTCCACAACTTAGCCCACTTGGCCTAGTTCGAGTCCAAACAGCTTCTAGCCCATTTTTCTTTAAGTTCACTTCATTTTAAGCCCAATTTGGCTTCTCCAAATGATCCATAGCTTCCATAATCGTCCAATCATTAATCTCCGCACGCTCAAATATTCTCCCGTATCTTGCAATTTTAAAGTTTATTTTCTCCAAGCCTTCAAATAATCATCAAGCCCACTCCATGCATCAACTCTATTATCACCAAGCCCATGATTCTCGACTTCCTCTTATTCCAATCGCTTTCCATACATCCTGAACATTCTCGCTTCACTAATCTCCATGAAATCCTCAATAAAGCTCACGAAACTAGTAAGTACCCGAAATTGTCATAAAATAACAAAAAGGAAAATATACATGGAAATTACCTAAATTATGGATGAAATAAACTAAAATAAACTATAAAAAGAAGTAAACAAAATAAACTATCACTTGGTTTAGGTCAGTATCCTGGTATATAGGATGATGTTATGTTAGTAACCGGTTAGGTCGGTATCCTGGTTATAGGATGGTTGTTGTGTTAGCGATCTGTTAGATCGGTATGATTATCTGTTATATATATGCTAACGTATGATATTTATGTACACATGATTATTTGATTAGTATGGGGGTTGGGTTGAGGCGGGTATTGCTTCATGTTGTAGGCCAACATTCCTAGCGCGGACCGGATAGACTGCAGGCCCAGGAGGGCACCTAGTTAGGCTCAAGGCCCTGCGAGCGGTCCAGATAGGTTGCAGGCCCCGAGAGGGCGGTCCAGGCATTTCGAGGCTCGGAGAGTGGGCCACATAGACTAAAGTCCTGTGCGAGCGGTCCGATCATACTCTAGACTCAGAGAGTGTACCAGGTGTACTGAAGGCCCGATACGGGCAGACCAATCACACTGTAGACTCGTGATGCATGGCTTTTCTGTTAATTATATGTTATATGATATGGTTATCTGTATGACGTTGGTATTTTGGGGATAACTCACTAAGCTTTCGGGGTTACAGTTTTAGTTTATTGTTTTAGGTTTAGCGGATGGCCGCGGAAAGTCGAAGGCATGACCGTACACTTCCTCGATTGATGATCATGATTCTGGGAACTCTGATGTTTAAACTATTTTGAAAACAAATTGTAATAATTGACTGGTTTGAAATGATTTAAAAAGCTTTAAATTGATTCAGATTTTATGGATGTTACAATCCTAATCCAAATAGGTTCATGAGTTGTTTCTTAGGCTTTACTATACTCCGATTCTCTTGTAGACCACACAACTAGGCTCAACTTTGACATACTCTAATCCACTCTTCCTCTATTCATGATGAAGATATAGTTGATCAATTAAGATCAAGAATAATCTAAATTAGTTTCTAAGCTTGAATTTGTGTAACACTTTACATTGCGGTCCTTATCCCAATCTACATAAACTAAGAACATATATTTAGTCATTTGTAAGTACGTAAGAATATTCTTGACATGAATCTATTGAGATTCACTTGGATTGATATGTAATATTCAAGCTTAAAGCATACACCACATCTAGTCGAGTACATAAGATGCTACATATGATGGATCCGATGGTAGAAGCATAAAGGACTCCAATCAACGTGTTTCACTTTAGCAGTTTTGTAGGCCATTGCTCAAGGTTATGTCATGTTGCATTGACAAGGCTTTATACTTGGAGTCTTTCATATTGAATCATTTCAAGTTTTTTTTTCAATGTATTTAGTTTAACCGAGACCAAGTAGCCACTTAAATCTATCCTTATATATCTTGATTCCAAGGATATATGGTGCTTGTCCTAGATTATTCATAGTTCTAATCCAAGACTTTGATGTTTATACTCTTTAGAGTATCATTAAGTATGAGTAATATGTTATCTACACACACGATCAGGAAGACGACGACAGTGACTTGTCTCATTAGCATGCGATATCGACAAGGAAGGTGCACAACATCTTTGAAGTCACCGCAAGATTTCAACAAGGTAAACAACGTTGTCGTAGTTCAATATCAAATGAAACATCATAATTAAACATTACATATACCATAGTAATTTTATTGCATCAAAGTTTCATATTACACATGCAACTTCTGGTTGAAACTATTTGCATACAAGTTCTCATGATTTACACACCATTAACATTACAAATATCACATCATTAATCAAAACCACGAATCTCACCATTCAAACCTTTATTTCTTTGTACAACTTTATATTTTATTATAGTCGTTGCTGATCATACAAAATCACTGTCGTGAACTCACCAAGCTGGCTCATGGTAGCCAATGTTCTCAATGGCAGCAACAGTCTTGAATAAACGACGCTTATGAATCTCCTCTACTAGGGAGCGGTGAAGCAATTGACTGCGAATATCGACCACTGATCGTGTCCTACTTATATTCCTATGTTGGGTCGTTTCTTGTTGTACTTTTTGCCTACTGCATCTTGTGCTCACTCTCTCTTCACCACAAAACCTAGTAAAACTCTCCTTCTCAGCAACTTGTTGGTCTTGTCTTATAGATGATCTCGAACCATATTCTTCTTCAACATCTGAGCAGTAAGTGAAGTTTGAGTAGTTACATGAATATGAGCTTTGAGAATCCGTATCATCACCATTGATGGCTTTACCTACATCCAGTTCGTAAAATTAGATACTGCCGAAACATATCTATCACAAGTCCCCTCAGCTAACCCCATCTTGTAAAGGTTTAACATCAAAACTAGAGTTTACCTCGATTCCAATGATCAAGGGTTGAAGAGATCACGGTATTATCCGCTTGATCATGTACTGCATCAAATCGTCTCAATAGGCTCTGGAGAGAAGATAGAGATGATGATTGTGAGGAGGGAGAATGGAAAGGGTGAGGGGTGGTGTCTTCGTCGTCATCATCATTATCATCATCGTAGCAAAAGCTATGATGATGAAGGTTTTTTAGACACATGGGTTGTTTCTTCCATGACGGAATTAAAGTCACGATCTCTTTATCAATCATCTCAGCAATATCAAATGGGTCCCAATCGTGAATCTCCAATTCCTTCACCATCTCGGTCGCAACATCATGCGCTGTGTCACTGGCAATATCAAATGGAAAATATATATTCCTTGCTATACCTATAATTTCATATAAATATACATTTAATGATCCAATTACGAAAATGTTGGTTTAGTATAACAAGAAACAACTAATCTCTTTTATTACATACCGTTTTTATCAGAAATGAGTACTTTGAGGAAGATAGAATCGTCTTCTGCATTCATGGTGCCCGTGATCGTCATATCAGTAGTACTTTTTGGAACAATATTGGGAAATGAAGAAATCACCTTTTCAGGTTTCTTTTCGATGAAAGTAGGGTTTTGGGTTGGGATTGTTGAGATATTCATCGGTTGATCAGTGTCTTCAACAAGAAGGAAAGGTTCCATCAAGAGATCTCTTGCGGATGGCCTACTTGATGCGTTTTGTAGGCATTTTCCAACAAACTCTTGAGCTTCTGCATCTTCAATCTGATAGAATGCTTTCGGCAACTTTCCCTGACAATTTGGAGTATTAATTTTTCAACATTTATGATTGAAATATGCTTATACACTTCAAAAGCCTATTTCGAAATATGTTGTTTTTCAAAAAGATTGGAGTAAGACTCTCTTTTGGGAAAAGATGGAGTAACAAAGTATTTGATTGTCCAAATCATATATCAATCATACCGAAGTGACTTTCTTATAAATTTGAGCTGGGTTCGAGCATTCACTATAAGGATATTCAGACGTAAGCATTTCCAACATACACATGCCAAATGAGTAAATGTCCACAAGCTCATTGTAATCTTCTTCATACATCTCAGGTGCCATAAATTCAGGCGTACCTGTTTCATGCATAAATAAAAGTTAGTAAATCTACAAGGAAGAAATAAGTAAGAGAAACAAGTATGTCAAGAAACTTTGCCTATAACACTATGAGCATGTGGTGATTCACAAAGTGTCGCAGCTAACCCAAGATCCCCAATCTTTACTTGACCAAGATGGCCATTGATGAAGATGTTATCGCATTTTAGATCTCGATGGATGACTGGAGGATCGTAGTTGTGCAAATAAGCTAAGCCTTCTAGGATTTGGCGTGCCCAATCTTTAATTGCTTGTATGTGTATACGCTTGTATTTCTGTCTATACCTACAAAATTATGGAGTGGAGAATATTGAGGATGTTACACAAGCAATAAAGGAGAAACAATAAAAAATGACACGGAGAATCAATCGTGGTTTAGTCGATAGAAGCCAGAGAATTGTTTTATGAAAAATTAAATATCATCCTATTTTTTTGTTCTATTTTTTCTTCCTACATATTTAAGATGATGACAAGTGTATAAATTCAAAATCTCAATCAAATTTAAATTAAATTTAATGACATTTGTCTCCATCTAAAATAGGTAGGAGGATATTAGGAAGAAAAAATAGGAGGTTATTTAATTTCTCTTGTTTTATTACTCTAACTATTTTCAAAGTGATATATTAGTACCTAGGGTTACAAATAGTCAAATACTTCTAAGCATAAACCCTAAAACCTATAATGAGAAACTCTTTTATGGATAAATGGAAGAATAATGAAAGTGGAAAATGGAAAATGGCAAACAATATGGAAAGAAAATGGTCAGATTTGGTGCCTAATTTTGAATTTTCCTAAAGTAGCCACATTTCCCATTTGTAATGATTATTCCGTTTTAGTTGTAAATCGAAATCCGGAATTTTTGAAATATAATGTGATCGACTAGGTATTTAACTTTGTGTACATTTTTGTCGATTTTAATTTTGTAAAATCTACTAATTGATGTCAATTTTTATCGGTCCTATAAATGGGCGAATGTAAACATTTGAGGTTATCTTGAAATTTAATAGAAAATTTTGTTTGTGAGTTTTAAAAGAAGAGAAAGAAGAAAAGAACATTAATTAGAGCTTGAAAACCCTAAAGAAATTTAGTTATTTTCACAATAATACTAAAAGTTACCATTAAAATAGAAATCAACTTCAAATTAAAAGCAGTCATGTGGAAAAATATTTGATATAAGTCATGTGATAAGGAAGTTTAGTGATTACTCTCTGAGGCTTCCGGCAGTGAACATCTCCGTTATGAAGTTAAAAGTCCTCCTATCAACATCGATCCAAGATGTGTGAAATCGCATTATGGATGTGTGATTGAGGTTTTTGAGGAGATGGACTTCTGAATATAGGCGTTGAAGGTCCTCCGGTGATCGGAAAATATCATTGAGTTTCACTTGATTCCATGCCACTTCGAGTGCTAAAACCTCATCGAATGCCTTGTAAACTGTTTTGGTTGCTCCTTTCCCAAGAACTTCCTTGAACTACAAACAACATTAATGCATCTTTCAAATATTTACTATATAGAAATGTAATCATTTTTTACTTCTATGCAAAATTGAAAATGGAATTAATCAGGATTATAAAGATGCGGATCCAATGTGAAATCATTTTTGGATTTTCAAGACATCCTAACAAAATTATTATAAAACATATAAAATACATTTCCATCCATCAAGTAATAAATATATAACAAAATATAACTTAAAATATATAAAATATGTCTACATTACATCATTTAACAATAAACAATTAATATGTATTTTCTAAAGTTTATACTCGATTCATTTTGTTACCCCACGACAAAATATTAAAAAATAATTAATAATAACGATCTTCTGATCTACCTCTGATTTACCTAAAAACGATCCAAATATTATCAGGATCAATTAATTTATATGAAATTGTAGAATCATACCATATTACGAACTAGGTGTGAGATCCGTGTAATATATGAGTTTATTTTAAAAAAAGAAGGTTCAATATAAAGTTATAAGCATTATATATTTTTTTAAATTAATAGTTTTACATAAATACAAAGGATATCATAAATAAAGTAATTACTTTAATATATATTATATAATATAAGAGATTTGAAAGGTTGTTATGAAATTTAATAGAATAATCTACCTTTTATATATATATATATATATATATATATATATATATATATATATATATATATATATATATATATCACCAAAATGTGAATTTTAAATTTAAGAAAATAAAAAATATAAGAAAATAACAAGTGAAAAAAAATAATATAAAAACTCTTAAAAAATAACATGTATCAAATTCAATGGAAATATAACATTTGATAAAATTGATTTTCATTTATTAGGTTGGACATTACGATTAGGATAACGATTTTTACAATTTTGGTGTTAATGTCCTGCTAGTTATTTATTATTAATGTTAGATGTTAGATACGTTGATAAAAATTAAATAAAAGCAATCTAATTCGTATGATTTTTACCAGCATGTTTTTATAATCTTTTAACCTTTTTGTAGCAGCATTATTTGATAACCGGCTAATAAGTCTAAAAAAAACCATGTTTAAAAAAAACCATGTCGACCCAACACGTATACATTCTAAATTAAATAAACAAAAAACTGTTCCTCTAATAAAACTATTAACTTATTTTGTAATCTAATAGTAAACGTTAACATCTTCCTTTCCTTCATAAAGTCATAGAGACACCGATTACTTAAATCCAAATAGGAAAGGAATAATATAAATAAAAAATGAAACAATATTACTTATATAATTATGCATTATTCCGACTATTAAAATGCTGGTCAACTTTCTAATGACATGAGCAAAAAAATTAAAATTAAAAAATTAGTGATGAAGCCAGCTTTTGATACCGTCCAACGGTTTTTTTTTAGTTTCGAGTTAGTTATCAAAATGATAATCATTTACTAAAAGAAACTAATGACTAAATCTTCAAAATTTTCATTAATATATAATAACATAATATTAGTAACATTAATTATCATGTTCGTATGTTGAGAGTTGAGCATTTACTTCAATATTGTGCTTATACAGTATGAGTAATTTATGTTTTGAAAAAAACAAATCCATCATATTTCCTATTATAATTAATTAATCCAAATATAAAGACAAAAACCCAAAAATAAAGGAAAAAAAAAACTTACACGTCCATATCGACCCGATGGATCCATTTCAGCGTACTCAAGTTGTGATTTTGCTCCACGGATGGAATCATTGCTTCGCGATTTGTACATGGTATCTTTTGAAGGTGATACAATGAACTATTTCTTTTGTACAGTAGCAAGTATTAATAACTAATCGTTCCTTTGAACACTATAAAATTTAATTTTTCCAAAAAAATAAATGAAAAAAAAAAAAAAAAAAAAAACAAAAATTTGCTGTAAATAGTAACGTAGATAACGAGGGGTGATCAAGTGCTAGATGATTGGAGGTCTCCCTTCATGGTTTTCATAAGGAAAAACACCAAAAACGAGCCAGAAAAGCATAGAGTAATCGATCCTAAGCATAATCCAAGCCATCACTGCAACTTCAGACCCAGAAATGTGTCCCATAGAAGCCATTTAATCTGATTAATGAACCAAAAAAGATGGAGAAAATATATTTTCTATATATATATATATATATATATATATATATATATATATATAAGAAATAAACTGGCTTTTGATTGATGAAGTATTAAAGATTTAAAAGCTTAAAAGTTGACAAGAAATCTGGCCCCTGAATTTGAAAAATCTGTGGCCACGTTTGGGGAATGCCATTTGTGATTATTGATGAAAAAGAAAATGATTCAGAAGATTGAGATCTTGTAGAGATGAAAAGAGATTTGGAAGCCAAAAAGAAGGGGGGGAGAAAGAGAGGACTCTTTGAGTTGTTAACAAAATGAGTTGGTAGGTTTGTGTTTACAACGACTTGATATATCAACAAATGATGTTATTATAGAAGGCGTTAGAAACCTACCGAAATTGACACAGATAATATATAATATAGAGAAAACTAGCTATTTGTTTATGTAAAGTCGATTGTGAAGTTTATCTGAGAGTGTAAAAGACAATATTATCCTTTGTATTGTATAAAATATTCTAAATGTCTTTGTGATCAAATAATCATTTCATATAAATAGGTTCAGGGGCGGTCCATGCCTTTTTTTTTTAGGACAAGAGGCAAAATATATATATATATATATATATATATATATATATATATATATATATATATATATATATATATATATATATATATATATAGAGAGAGAGAGAGAGAGAGAGAGAGAAGGTTCAATCATTTAATTAGCATCTTAACTTAAAGTATACGGTGACAAACTTGTAAATATGATATGATATCCTTCAATCACAGATATGTAACTGTAGATAATTTGATAACAATTCAAATTCATTATACTCGATCGTTCATCATCCAAATTTCTTCTCCAACGTTCAACGATCATCCAGATTTCTTCAATTAAATCATCGATCAACATCATCTAGTATTAATCAATCATCCATCTTCGTCAAAAACACGTTCATCAACATCATTCAACAGTAGATCAAAAAAAATCGTTTTTGGTTCTTTCAATCCAACCTTCAACTATGCTTGAATACGAGAATATCTTCAACATCTACGATTAATTTTACTCCCGGTGTCATTAGATCAATCTCATCGATAATCAACATCAGTTTCACTTCATATCACTCATTCAGCATCGACCATCAAACAAAACTTCAAAATTAAGGTTAGAAAAACATCAAATCATTTTTTTTTTTGAAAAATTTCATATAATTCTCTATCAATATACTATTTTGTAAGTTTAAATAGTCAAAGTATCATGTTTTTAGCATTTTTAAGAAAACTTACTTGTATGCACTCCAACTGTTTGATGAAATGCATAAACTAAATGACCACGTTATATTCACGTATGAATATGTTTTCGCACCTTAATCAATATATGATTATTGAAACACAAAAAAATATACAATTTTATATGTTATTCATATGTAAATAACATATAAAAATGATATATATATATATATATATATATATATATATATATATATATATATATATATATATATATATATATTTGTGAATATATCTTGTAATATGCATATGTTAATATCTTGTGTAATATTCATATGTGAATAAACTGTTTAATATTCACATATGAATATATCATCTAATATTTATAAGTGAATATAGCATCTAATACCTACAAGTAAAAATATTATGTAATATTCACAAGTGAATGCATCGTTTAATATTTAAATATGAATATCTATATCATATTCACAAGTGTATATATTATATATTATTCATATTTGAATATACTGTGTAATATTCATGAATGAATATATATCATTCAATATTTAGATGTGACTAGAATGTGTAATATTCACAAGTAAATATACTATATAATATTCACATATGAATCTACTATATAATATTCATATATGAATATATTATGTAATATTCATTTGTGAATATACCATGTAATATTACATGTAAATATATAATATAAACAACATATATCATATAATATTCACATATGATTATACATTCATATGTGAATATACCATGTGATAATTAGAATGTGATAAATCGCTATTATTATGAACTAAAAGTATATTTTTAACATTTTTTATGTGTATTCACATGTTTTTCAGGCATCGTTATAACTCAATAAAAGAATAACATTTCAATCAATGGTTGGTTTATATCTCATTGGTGACGATTGGTTGACGTAATTGAGAAGATATCATTGACGAAGACAATATATTTTTATATTCACGTGTAAATGTTATACAATTTAAGATATTCTTCATTTTGATCGTATTAAATTCAAATGCAAATGATATTCATTAACCAATACAATGTTGTTTGTCTTAGTATAATGTTGATTTTACATGTAAAATAATATTATTACATTATACAAAAAAAAACTATGCACAAACCAATTCTTATAGTGTATTATTTATTTTTATATATAAAAGTTGTATTCACAAAATAAATAAATCAACATGTATAGTTTATTCACATAAATAAAAATAAAAGATTACAATAACGATGTTTTTACTGGTATGATTGAAGTTATTAACATCATCAGTAAATATGTCGTCATGATTTATAAACTTTATTCATATATGAATAATGATGATGTCATCACTAGTATGAATGAAAATTTAGTGAGATCATCAAAACAATTTGCCGCAATGAAGTTTAGTCTCGGAATTGGACAAAATTCACATATTTGATATAAAATGGTGCGATTTACAAAACTCACCGCTTCGCCGTGACGTACGGTGTTTTTCGGCAATTCGGGGCTGTTTAGGGCCTCAAAATGACGTTTTTCTATTTTTATAATTTTCTGAAAAAAAAAAGTTATCATTTATTCACAAATGAATATATCATTAATAAAAATGTATATGCTTATATAATTATTTTATTAACCTAAAAAGATTAGTTGTATGTGAATAAATATATATTCTTATCAAATATGTTTTTTATCTTTAATTTTATATATTTTATAGTCCTCGGTTTTATTGACAGTTTTATTCATTTGTGAATAATACATATATATTCACATTTAATTATTATATATATATATATATATATATATATATATATATATATATATATATATATATATATTCATTTGTGAATATTACATATGTTTATATGCGGATACAATTCTTATATGTTATTCACATATGAATTACAAACTTACTTAGGACCTTAAAATGACGTATTACTTGTATTCATTTATGAATATTACATGTATTCATTTGTGAATATTACATGTATTCGCATGTCAATATATTTTTTATATATTATTCACATATCAATTACATACTTGCTCTGTGTTTTTAAAAGATATACATTAATTCTCGTATAAAGACATATTCACTTGTGAATATTACGTGATATATTTAGTTTATGCATTTCATCGAATAGTTGGCGTGCAAATAAATTAACTTATATAACTATGGTAAAAAATTCACAATTGAAGCCAATAATTACAAAACAAATCAAATTCTATCAAAACCGATTAATAATCAATAGGTTTATATCAAAAATTGTGAAAAAAAATGTATGAAAAACGATTTTTAAAAATATCTTCAAATATATGGTTATGTTGATGAACTTTCGATTGCTACCTGTTGTTTGATATTGGCAAAGGTTCCTTTGATGAAGTTTCGATGATTTGTGATCACTAAATGATGTGACATCGATAAGTGTGGATTATTTTAACAATTTTGCTTCATGTCAATGAAACTGGACAAGATTGAATTACGAGTTACACTTAATAGTACAAATTTTTAATGACGAATCACAACATTTTGATGAATAAACGAAGATTTTTGATGAAGAATTGATGTTTTTATGAAGTGTCGATGTCTTTTTTTATGAAGAACATGTGATTTTGATAGCGAACACGTAGTAGAACGTATGACGTTGATGAAGAACTGATGAATAACACAGAGGAACAATCGAGATGAATGAATAATAGATGGTGTTGATGAAGAATCGATAAACGATCCAGAAGAAATGATATCTGTGATTGAAGGTTAATATATCATATTTACAAATTTATCACCGTGTATTTTATGCTAATATGCTAATTAAATGATTGGCCTCCCATTCTCAACCTTTTTTATTTTTCTCAATTGAACTTACATATATATATATATATATATATATATATATATATATATATATATATATATATATATATATATATATATATAAAGCCACAAAAAAAGATTTGATGTAAGTTATAAAAGAAATTTATAGTAAAAAATGAAATTAAACATTTAACCAAATAAACGTAAAGCCACTTTAGCTGATTATTTATCACAATAACACCTAAATGTTTCATTATTCTTTAAAATAGCCATTAATTTCATAATATTCGCTTCGAAACGTATTAGGTGCTGGTCTCCCCATACTTAAGATAGTTTTAGACTTTTCATCACAATGTGAAGTTCCATTTTGCTGCGAAAATGGACAATTTCACATTATAATTTGACAAAACTGTAAAATTGGTCCTTATGGTTTGTTAAAAACTTTGGATGGTGTCCAAAAAGTTTTTAACTTGCATGGAAGGTCCAAAATCAAGGTTTTTCTAAGTTTTTAGTCCTTGGTGCACTTAAAAAGACGATTTCACCCTTTTCATTTCTTTTTTCTATTTTCTTTATTTTCTTTGGTATTTAAATAATTAAAAATAAAAAATAAAAACTAAAATATCACCCAACCCCCTTACCTCTCTCTCTCTCTCTCTACCCACCGTCTTCCCCACCCTTGTTCCTTTCTCATCTAATGGGAAAACCTTTCAGCCATTCTCTCTTTCTTTTCTCCATTACATACTACCCAAATTAGTCATCGAAGGTTTCTTTCCGATGATAATCTCCAATATCAAAATCCCCAAACGGTAACACATTCTTTCCGACCACAGACGTTTCAAAGCTGGAAAGACGAGGTAAGAAGTCGCTTTGAATCAGAAAGTTAGATGATTTTATCACCCCACTGAGAAGACCATGAGTGTGAATCGATGCTATTGGTTTCGTTGCTCCGAGCGCTATTTCATATCCGATTTCCCAATTTAACGGCATAAATTGAACGTCTTCGCTTCTTGCGAAATTGAAATCGGTTAAAGGTAAAAATTAGAAACCCTAGTTTTCAATTATGGGATTGCTTACCATGTAGGAACTCCTCCAAGCTGCCTAAACATAAGTAGTCATGAATAAAAAACACTTTGCCCCCGTACCAAAAACCAAATCATAGCAACAACAACTACCGGTTGCCACGAAGGTTGCCGAAAAAATTAACCCAATGCTCAAATTTGCTGCCATGGGTGATGTTTTTACATATCTTTTTGATTGTGATAATGGAGCCAGAGTAGGATGATAACTTAGTAAAGTGTGCTTAAGGATCCACCACCGTGTCTATTCTTGGGAAGTTGAATGAGATCACAGGGGTTGGATGTTGTGATAGTTTCATGATCTCCGAAAATGATTCTGGTGGGAAGCCTGATTTTGACTTGTAAGGAGATTGGTGTTTGGTTTGTGAATTGGGTGGTGATGGGTTTGGTGAATTTGGTTGAGATGATCGTCTGGAAGAAGATGGGGGAGGGGGAGAGAGAGAGAGAGAGAGAGAGAGAGAGAGAGAGAGAGCGAGAGAGCGAGCGAGAGAGAGTGTGTGAGTGGGGTGGACCCGTCCTATCATTTTTCTTTTTCATTTTTGCTTTTTTTAATTATAAAACAATTAAAACAAATAAAGAAAATGTAAAAACTAATTAATAAGGGTAAAATTGTCTTTTCAAATTTTAAAGGACCAAAACCAAAGAAAATTCTTGATTTTGGACCTTCTATGCAACTCAAAAACTTTTTGGACCCCATCCACAGTTTTTTGCAAACCACAAGGACCAATTTTACAGTTTTGTCTTATAATTTAATAAAATACTAAGGGCGCGTTTGCTTTGTGGGATTCCTAAGGAAAGTGAAGGAAATGGAAACTAGAATCCCGTAGTTATCGTGTTTGGCTTACCAATTGAATGTAATCGGATTTCTATAATCATATTTTAATTCTGCAGTTGATTGATTTCTAATTCTTTCCCAACGTATCAAGAATCTATATTCAATTCTATATCCTCCTATTATCTATACGCTTGTGAAATCAAAAAAAAAAAAAAAAAAAAAAAAACAACCGATTGTCATTATCTTTTCCCTGATTATCGTATCTCAATATATCTACATATCTCGATCGGTTCTACAATACAATTCAATTGCCGATCGTTTTTGCTGTGCGCCTCTGATACCTTTGTTGCCTGAGGTTAGTTGTTCTTCCTATTCTTTGTTTCATCCTTTTCATTGTCAAGCAAATGCCGAATTGATCATCTACCGTTCTTCAAATAACATTTATATATATTTTATTCAATTTGTGATTGTTTGTTAAACGCATGTTGGCCGCTTGTGCCGGCAGTATCGCATCAATGAGAATGCTTTAATTATCATTGTTGACATCCTACTACAATTCAACTATGTGTTCTTTTATGTGATGTAACTGCAATTAAGCCTTCAAGTAAAGTAATTGTTAATTTTGTGGTTGAAATTTACTGTTGGTAACATGTACTAGTTGTAGGTAGAAGTATGCACACCAAGTGTTTGTGTTTTTGCTTGTGTGGTGTTTTTTTTTTTACCTGCATGATTTTTTGTTTTCAATCCTTTTGCCATTATGTTTGTTTTCTTGGAAAAGATGAGACAAAAATCAAACAAATTTCTACTAAAACTCAAATTTGTTGACGATTAAAATCCACAACAATGTCAATTATTATGTCTTTAAATTGTAAAATTTTCCTTTTCTGGGAGATGAGCAGGAAATGGCACGGCTTAGTCTAACTAGAAGCAAACATAGAAAAAAGATAAGTCAAATAGTCGTTACATTTTGGAATGAAGTTATGACTAGTATTACATGGTTTTTTATCACGGTGTGCAAGCTACTACAAATATACAGAGGAGGTAAACCACGTATAAAAAACATATCGTCGGATGTGGATCGACAATCAATAATGCACAAATACGCTTACAAAAGTGACACTACGTGCATATCAAATCTCAGGATGACCCGAAGATGTTTCACAAAGTTGTGTGACATGCTTCATACACTAGGTGGGTTAAGAACAAGTAGACATATGGATATTGATGAACAAGTAGACATATGGATATTGATGAACAAGTGGCCATATTTCTTCACATTATTGCACATAATGTGAAGAATCGGGTCATGATAGGTCGTTTCCAGCGTTCTGGAGAAACAATTAGCAAAATTGTTTCGCGAGTTTGCAACGCAGTGATAAGGTTGCATCCACATTTGCTTAAGAAACCGGAACCTGTTACAGAAAACTCTACAGATCAAAGATGGAAGTGGTTCAAGGTATATATTAGACTAATAAAAAATTTCGAGTACTACATAAATTGCTTGATATGACATATGACCATTTCTTTTCTTATATTATGTAGAACTGCCTAGGAGCTTTAGATGGAACACACATAAAGTGCTTAGTGCCACTTAAAGATAAGCCTAAGTACAGGACAAGAAAAAATGATATTGCCACAAATGTCCTAGGGGTGTGTTCACAAGATATGCAATTTATCTATGTTTTACCGGGATGGGAGGGCTCAGCTGCGGATGGTAGAGTGCTTCGAGATGCCTTACTTAGGCCACATGGATTGAAGGTCCCAAGGCCGTGTACGTATAATAATTGCTATTTTAGATACGTATTAGTTATTAATTATGCTAACTATACTACATATATAGGTTATTATTTGGTAGGTGCTGGTTATACAAATGGTGAAGGTTTCTTAGCCCCATATAGAGGTCAAAGATATCATTTGAATGACTGGCGTGCAGGACACCAACCAACTACACCTAAAGAATTATTCAACATGAGGCATTCATCTGCAAGAAATGTTATAGAAAGATGCTTTGGTATTTTAAAGGCAAGATGGGGAATTTTAAGGGACAACTCATATTATCCTATTGATCTAAAAAATAAGATCATAATGGCATGTTGTCTTCTTCATAATTATATAAGGCAGGAAATGACAACTGATCCGTTTGAGAACCACTTTGAACTAGACGAGGGAACCGGAGATGTCGGTGGTGGAGATTATGATAATATCACTTATGTTGGTGTATCAACCGAGTGGAGCACATTTAGAAACAATTTAGCACAAAATATGTTTGATTCTTGGAATACTACACATTGATCATTTCTATTTTTGTTATGTTTATCATTTACTATGAATTTGTGCTACATTTTTTATTTTCAATAATGAGCTTTAATTTACTTTTACTGGTTATATTTGTTATATATATGGTTGTGTATTTTTTTATAGCATGCATTGTTTCATCTAGTTATTATGTTTATAAAAATAGTAGGTGTGATGGAAAAAATCAGAAACTATCGCAACTGGACAATTACTGAAGATGCCAAGGTCGTGGAAGCATTGGTAAATATGGTGAACATGGGAGGATATAAAGCCGATAATGGTTTTAAATCTGGATATTTACTGCATCTAGAAAACGCAAAAAGGAAAAAATTCCTAACTCTGGCATATTGGGTAAACCCCACATTGAGTCAAGGATCAAAACCATGAAAAAAGATTGGCAAGTTGTTTATGATATGGTAAATGGTACGAACACAAGTGGTTTTGGTTATGATAGCTCCACTCATTCTGTAACAGCTGAATCAACAGTTTGGGATTCTTACATACAGGTACAATATTATAACTTTTATGTATTTTGTTACTTTTCAATTATTTATATTAAATTTTTATATGCTAACATTTTATGATACAAAATAGGTTCATAAAGAGGCAGGAAAATGGAGAAATAAGATATTTCCTCATTACGAGGATTTATGTATCATTTTTGGAAAAGATAGAGCTCAAGGGAATAAAGCTAAGGATTTTTCCCAAATGGAAGAAGATGCAAATAATGAAGAGCAATCAGAACAAGTAGAAGATGTTTTTGAAGAACAAACCACAGAAAATGAAGAATCTCCAAACACATGCTCAAAGAAGAGGAAAAGAGTTGATGCAGTTATTAAGGGAATAACTATTACAGCTAACACCCTTGGAGAAAAACTTGAAAAAGCAGCAAATAGCATGAACCAAGCAATACTAGGAGAAACAGAAGTACAAAAAAAAGCTTCAATGGTGATTCCAGAAATTTCAAAAATGCAGTCTTTAAGTGCCTTTGATAGGTTCAAAGCAAGTAGGAAAATAATGCGTGACCCTGAAACCGTGTTAAGTTTTTGGAATTTGGAAGGAGAAGATCGGGAGAACTTTGTGAGGTTTATGTTGGAAGAATGATATGATTATGAACTAGGTATTTAGACATTATTTTATATAGTGTGTGGTTACTTTTTTTTTTTTTTAATTTGAGATTGAGAATAATGAATGACATTTGTTGCTTTATATTTATATATTTAATGGTTTTATTTCAATTTTTTTTAATTATATAAAAATTCGTCATGTTTATTAAAAAATATGATAAGCTAGAAAAAAACATTAAAGGGTATTTTTGTCATAATACGTAATTTGTTTTCCAATTCCGTTGAGAAATCAGCAAACCAAACAGAAAACAGATTCCATTCCATGTCAACCAAACACATTTAAGTTTCTAGTACATTCAGATTCAAATTCCTCCAGATTCTAATTCCTTTGACAGATTCCATTCATTTCAAAAACATTATGTGAAACAAACGCGCCCTAATTGTGAGACCTATGAATCATATGGGTTAATTTTAAAAAAGTTAAATATAAATGTTAGAATATTTAACAACTTTAAATTTACAAAAATAATAATAATAATAATAATAATAATAATAATAATAATAATAATGAAAATGTTTTTTTATCTTTAAATTTAAACAAATAATTTAAATAAATAAACAAAATAAACGAATGATCTTTAATTTTGAGAATTTTGAAATTAAAAGGTAAATTGATTAATTAAATTGATATCAATTTATTATTATATTTATTATATATTAAAATATTATATCGGTTGGGTTGGGTTGAGGTTTCTAACCTACCAATCCGTGACCCGCCAACCCGTCAATTCATATATTATATGGGTTGGGTTGAGTTTATGTTTTCTGACTCGCCAACCTGAACCCAACCCAATTCTCAGGCCTAATTCTAATAGAATATTACATTGTACATTTCTAATATGATTTTTAGAATGTTTAGAATATTCTACTAAATTTGCCAGATATATAGAATATTCTAAATATTCTACTAAAATATGTAAAAAATGTATTTTTTGTATTTTTTATATTTTTTTTGGAAAATATATATTCCGAAAATAATATTGAAAAATAAATTTCGAAAATTTTCAATTATTTTGCATTTTAAAAATTCTTTTTGTTTTATCTATTAAATAAATGGCTAGGATTGCGTCTCACAAAATTAGACCGTCTCACATTAACCTAACATTATATATATATATATATATATATATATATATATATATATATATATATATTAATATATATATATATATATATATAAGCACAAAAAAGGTAGCAACAATAACTTTTTGGGAATAAGATTTTTGCCGTGGTTTTTTTGGTCATTTTGATATTTTTGGCAGTTGTAATCAAAATTTTTATATTTTCGTAAAAAAAAACACAATAAAAAAAACTTTAGATTTTAGCCACAAATTTTTAGCTACTTTGACAATTTTAGTCCTTATTGTAAAAATTATACACTTTGGCACGAAATACATTCTTTAACCACTTTGACACTCTTGATCTTTGCAGTTAAAACTTTTACATTTTGACATAAAAAACATTTAAAAAAAAAAAAAAAAAAAAACATTTCGGGGCGAAGCCCGGACTTTCTTCCTAGTTAATATAAAATCAGTTGTTACAACAAAATTTTATAAAAACATAAATAAATATTAAATACATTAAAAGGTTAATCTAGTATCTAGTACAAAATCAAAAATAGTTAAAAAAAAAAAAAAGATAAATAAATATTACATCTGGACAAACGTATAGAAACCATGCCCTCTAAAAACACAAAAAGTAGTCATAACACATATATAATCTAATAACTAAAATTATCATCAACCTCTCATTGGGGTATAACTGAGCTACATACAAAATTCTAATCAAGCATAACACAAACAATATATAACAAAGACTCCATAGATGATGGTTGACCAGATACAAGTACAAATGACTTATCTTTGACATTTCTTCTGGGAGACCATTGTGATGCAATGATAACTACATAGATGATGGTTGAATCTAGATAAAAGTAAAAAACAAAAAAACAAAAAACCAAAAACAAAACCCCTTTAACATCACCAATAACCATTAAATCAAGTAAAAAAACGTAGAAATTCAAATAACGGAATTCTCTCACCTTAAATGTTCGGTACACATTTATTTACATATTGACCATCTATCAGCGACAATCAATCGTGAAATACCTCTCAAAATACATGAAATCATTTTCAATTCCAGGAAGATGGAGATGAGGATGACAATTTTTAAATAACTAAGCAAATGTGATTCTAAAGTCCAAGCATTTGGATGTATTGTTGGCTCAATACTTGTAAGATCCACATCTTTAAGTAGCCCAAACATGTTTCAAATGTTAAGTTAGAGTGTGTGCATCTAATTTTGGAAGAGAGATTATAAAATAATAAATAGATAACATAACCAAAAAAGCTCAAAATAAGTTATTTAGATTGTTTCAACAACATTGAACACATGAACATTTAGCCTAAGAACATCTTGCCTATTAAATGTTTTTTAAGGAAGTCAATATAGCACCGAAGCTATAGTGTTGGATTAACTCATTATGCTTGAGGACAAAATGGCAGAAATCTTCATTGCTGGGAGAAAAGAAAAGGAAACAAATATAGTAGTTTGAATGTTTCTTCCATTAGAAACTAGATCTATAACCACGAGCCTGGAGAATAAAATTAGGATTTTAGGGTTCCAATTTATCTATTTCGATTAGGAATTTGGGAATCGGTTTTGGGGATAGTCGAAAATTATCTAGAATAGTGAATGCTTCTTTAGTTTTAACTTTGTTGTTACCTGGTTTTACCGGACCGGCGACCGAACCAGCCGTCTTACCGGTTTGATGGTTCAACTGGTCTAACTAGTCAGAGTGTCAGACCGGTCTTAAAAACCGTAAAAACCGGATGATGTCATAAGTATTATTATTAATTTTTATCATATAAAAAACAGAAAAAATTAAAAAATAAATATTTTTTTAATTCCCGGTTTTACTGGTTCACCAGACCGGTTTTTACCAGTTCAATAGGTTTTTACCGGTTCAAAGCACGAGCAATTTTATGGCCTCTAAGAACTGGACTCGGGACCGGTTTCTAGTTGAACTGGCCGATCGAGTCCGGTTTTCAAAACATTGCTCTGTAAGCTCTTTAATTTGTAAGCTCTTTAATTTGTCTGGACCTCACAAATCTATTTACCCCTTGAACCCCAAATATAGCTCTTCGTCATAACTCTTTACGTCATTTAGCAAACAATAATTGTAAGCATCATACAAAACCATAAACACATCATACACGCATCATGGAACAACAATTAGCATGAAAAACATATTTTCGTTATAAAGCATGTAAACCATCTTAAAAACTTTTTTATAAGTGGTTATCATCCCAAGTAATTATATATATCATATAGCATAATGTAAAGCATATATAAATATAAATACAAATAGACTCAAAATCATTTAATTTTATAAAGACACGTGGTTGAAACCCGATGTACTGACCTTGGTTTATTGGGACTACTTGTAACGCCTGTAAATCCGGACTAGTCAATTTAGAGGTAATAGGGGTCGAAAATGACTTTTCGACAAAAGATTATTTAGAATAAATAATCTTAACCAAATTGTAGAATATGTCACAAGGTTATTGTCCATATAAATAGCGTCGAAATCGGAGTTATAACGAAGAAGTTATGACCCGTCGAAGTTTCGCGATGGAACCGGCACGGCACCGGGAAGCGTAAATAGTGATTTTACGATGGATGACTTTTTAGCCTTAGTGATCTAAACGAAAGTCGTATAATATGTTAAACCAAGAAAATCCATAAAAAGAACGTCCAAATCTGACTTTGTATGAAGAAGTTATGATTTTTCTAAGATTCGGCTTAGCAGTGCACGACTCGAAACTCGAATTTTAGTTCGAGCGGTTTTTGGCTTACGTGACTTAAATGAGAGTTGAAGATCTCATTAATAGGAACTTAACAGTAAAAAGACAGACGAAAACAGAGTCCGTATGAAGGAGTTACGAATTCTTCGCGATCATTTAACAGTCTAAACGCCTCGTACTGTTAAATTTAAGATCGGTCGAGAATTAGCCGACGGAGTCAAAATGAAAGTTGTAGATATTATTTTTACCTACACGTGGATATAAAGAACGTCAAAAACAGAGGTCGTATGTGAAAGTTACGGATTTTAGAAGTCAGAAGTGTGCTGTGCGAAAATGGGTGATGTGGCCAAATCTTGGTCATTGCTTTCTCCCCAAGTCTTGCCACTAGATGGTGACATGTGGCACCAAGTTCAGCCATTTTCACCCTATAAATAGAACTTCTCCCACCCTCATTTTCTTTACACATTTCTCAAAATTTCTTCTCTTTACTCTCTCTCTAGAACCTCTCTCTAGCCCCGAAACCCTCCGAAAAGCCTAGGGAACCTCCCTAGCACAAGGCGGAAGCCCCTCAGTGCTCGACGGCTCCGAGAAGAAGAGCTTTTCCGCATGAGAATGCTGCTCCAAGCAAAGCCTGGTTTTCTATAAACCCGTTGTAAGTGAGCTACGCCTACGCTATTTTTAATATAGTTTTTATTTAATTATATTAACGTTATTAAGAACATATAATAAGTAATTGGGCTATTATTATGGGTTATATAAGTATTATTTAATGGTTATATAATAGTAATAATAGCTAGACTATTAATTAATCTCGGTGAATAATAGATTAAACTCTAGTGGTAATAATACTAGGTTTCGTCGAAGGATTTTTTTTTTCAAGAAGTGAAGCGCTGTCTGAGTCCGGAATCACCACCTTTTCAAGTGAGTGCATAGTTACTTTCATCTTACACATAGATAAGAAGTATTTTATATAAACTACGTGTTATGTGTGCATATTATATGTATACTTGCTGTCTATGCTGGATGAACGTTTTTATACATGTTTTACATGATTTAAACTGTATACATATTTTATATACACGAATATGTTGGGTATGATACGGGTAGATGAATGATGAGAGATAAAAGATGATGTGAGTAAACATTGACAGCTATAGACTTAGTGCCTAAC